GGTCAGGGGTCAGAGAGCATGGGGAGGAGGGGGTGAAAAGGGGTCTTGAGTCATGGGTTGGAGTGTTTGGGGATGGTGGGAGGTGAAGGGGTCAAGGGTCAAGGGCTGGGGTCAAGGGTCTGCAGGGCTGGGGGGGAAGAGTTGGGGGTCTGGGGTCAAGGGTCAGGTTCTGGGGTCAAGGGTGGGGGTCCAGGGTCAAGAGTTGGGGGTCTGGGGTCAAATGGTTGACATCTGGGGTCAAGGGTTGGGATCAAGTGTCGCTCAACCCTCCTTGGCCAATGAGACCCTCAGCCCTAGCACCTTGGGGAAGGGGTCAAAGGTCAGGCACTGACCCTCGGGGTGCTTGTACTGGTGGGTGATGTCCAGGCGGGCCCCTCCCCCTGCGCCCAGGGTGCTGATGCGGCGCCCGATGGCTCCTTCCTCCACGTGCACCACCCGGAAGGCCCCGCCGGGCTGGCGCTGCCAGTACACCTTGTCGCTGTTCACCTGGACACGCCCCTCATTAGCATCCAGGGAACACGCCCCTCGTTGGCATGCAGGGACACGCCCCCCCGGGCGGCCACGCCCACTTCCCTTTTTGGGGGGTGGGACCCTGGACACCCAACCCTTGACCCCCCAGAGCCCGACCCTTGACCCCAGATTTCAACCCTGATGACCTCAGACCCCCAACTCTTCCCCTTGACCCATGACCCCTTTGCCTCCCACCATCCCCCAACACCCCAACCCATGACCCAAGACCCCTTTTCACCCCCCCCCCCCCGTGCCCTCTGACCTCTCACCTCAGCAAAGACGAAGGGGGTGTCGTACTTGAGGAAAACCTCCCCGTTCCTTACAGCCGTCACCGAGCAGGGCCCGCAGCAGAACAGCCCTGCACCAGCACCGCACCAGTTCAGACCAGTACAGGCTGGTAGGAACCCAGTACAGGCCAGTAGGAACCAGTACAAACCCAGTAAGGGCCAGTAGGAACCAGTACGGGCCAGTAGGAACCAGCACAAACCCAGTAAGGGCCAGTACAGGCCAGTAGAAACCAGTAGAAGCCCAATACTGGCCAGTAGAAACCTGATACAGACCCAATATGGGCCAGTAGGGGCCAGTAGAAACCCAGTACGGGCCAGTAGAAACCCAGTACAGATCCAATACAGGCCAGTAGGAACCAGTAGAAACCCAGTACAAGCCAGTAGGAACCAATATCAACCAGTAAGGGCCAGTAGAAACCAATACAATCCAATAGGAACCCAGTACGGGCCAGTAGAAACCCAGTAGGAACCGAGTACAGACCAGTAGGAACCACAACAGACCAGTACGAGCTGGTAGAAACCAGTACAGGCCAGTACAAACCAGTATGGGCTGGTAGAAACCAATACAGACCAGTACAGACCAGTACGATCCAGCAGAAGCCCAGTGAGAGTCAGTGTAGAGCAACAGGGAGCAAGATAAACCAGTAAGAACCAGTATAGACCAGTAAGAGCTGGTATAGGCCAATGAGAACCAGTATAGGCCAATGGGAATCAGTGTTGGCCAGTACAGACCAGTACAAACCACCCAGACCCAGTATAAGCCCTATAAGAACTAACAGAGACCAATAAGAGCCAGTGTAGACCAGTAAGGACCAGTATAAGCCAATGAGAACCAGTATAAACCAGTAAGACCCAGTGCAAACTAGTACAAATGGGTGTAAACCAGTATTGACCAGTATGAATCAGTAGAAAACAGTGTAGACCAGTAAGGACTTGTACGAACCAATAAGGACCAGTGCAGACCAGTAGGGACCAGCACAGACCAGTAAGGACCAGTAGCCACTGGCCACCCCTCCCCCCTAGCCCAGAGGCCTCCTCCCAGTGCCTCCCAGTATAAACCAGTATGACCCAGTACCGCTGCTGGTCTCCTGAGGGGTGGCATCCACCACCTGCCACCCATCGTATCCTGGGGGGAGGTCAGGGCGCTTCATCCAACAGTCATTCCAGACGTGGAAGTTCCTGCCCAGTACAGACCAGTACAGACCACTACGGACCAGTACAGACCAGTACAGCCCCCAGCAAACCTCAACCAACCCCACCTTTATCACCCCTTTTTCACCCCAAAACACCCCCCCATCCCCCCTCAGCCCCATCCCAGCCCCTCGGGAGGCCCTCCTGGTGTCAACCGGTACACCCCAGTATAAACCAGTACCAGACGGAGTCGGTGTTGAGGCGCTCGAGGGGCTTCATGTTCTCATCGAAGTAGATGTCGGTGGTGAGAGACACGTCGGTGTCGTGGGCTGAGTTGTAGTTGGTGACGGTCCGGGTGGGCAGGCCCAGGCACCTCAGCACTGGGGACACCAGTATAAACCAGTATAAACCAGTATGTGCCCCTACAAGCCCGGATCTCACTCTACTTCCCCCACCAGAAGGTCCCACCGGCCTCCCAACCCACACTGGGAGGCCTCCCATTCTAAACCAGTTGGTCCAACCAGTCTAAACTGGTCTATGAGGAGATCAAACCAGTCTAAACCAGTACAGACCAGTATAAAGATATAACAAGTCCAAATCAGTATCAATGGTTTAGGTTCATCCCCATACTGGGGGGTCTGGTTTCCCCTCATTTGACTCCCAGCAGCTCCCGACACCTCCCAGTACAAACCAGTATGAGACCAGTATGACCCAGTCTACTACTGGACCAAACCAGTACAAACCAGTATCAACGATGCATTTTAGGTTCCATTTATCCCCATACTGGGGGGTCTAGTTTCCCTTCACTTGACTCCCAGCAGCTCCCGACACTCCCAGTACAAAACCAGTACAAGCCAGTACAAAACTCACCCCTCTAATCCCAAATTCTCCACCTTTTGAGCCACTCCACCCTCTTCCCGCCACCCCCTGGGGGTCTCCAGACCTTCCCACCCCCCCAACCTCTCTTCCCATGCTCCCTCAGTCAGTCCCAGTACAAACCAGTATGAAACCAGTACAAACCAGTATGAGACCAGTATGACCCAGTTTACTACCGGACCAAACCAGTACAAACCAGTATCAACGACGCATTTTAGGTTCCATTTAAGCTCATACTGGGGTGTCTGGTTTCCCCTCATTTGACTCCCAGCAGCTCCCAACACCTCCCAGTACAAAACCAGTACAAACCAGTACGAAACCAGTAAAAACCAGGACAAACCCCACCCCCCTAACCCAAATTCCCCACCTTCTGAGCCGCTCCACCCTCTTCCCAGCATCCCCTGGGGGTCTCCAGACCTTCCCACAGCCCCCAGCCTCTCTTCCCACACTCCCGCCGAGTCGGTCCCAGTACAAACCAGTATAAACCAGTACAAACCAGTGGTCATGACGCCAGCGAAGACCCAGCACTGCCCGTAGCGCACAGGGGCACCGGTGCCATGGTAGCTCCGCAGGATCTCGACGGAACCGGCCCAGGACGAGGGGTTGGTCCCTTGGGAATAATCCCCGGTCCAGTTCCCCACCAGGACCCCGTTGTCGTCCAGGGAGTTCACCTGGGGACCCAAAACCTTGTGGGATGGCCCAAAACCTCGGGGAACGACCCCAAAACCTCGGGGAACAGCCTGAAAAATCTTGTGGAATGATCCAAAAATCTCCTGGGATGCCTCAAAAAACCTGAAAGGACCCAAAAACCTCGTGGAATGCCCCCAAAAAAGTGGAATGCAAAAACCTTGTGGAACGACCCAAAAAATCTTGTGGAACTACCCAAAAATCTCATGCGACGCCCCCAAAAAACTGGAACGACCCCAAAAAACCCAGAGGGCCCCAAAAAACCTGGTGGAACCCCCCGAAACAACGTCCCTAAAGCCCCAATGACCCCAAACCTGACGATGGCCTCAAAAAAGCACAATGTCCCAAGAACAATGACCCAAAAAACCAGGAATCCACCCCAAAACCCCAGCAACCGGCCCCAAAACCCCACAAATCCCCCCTAACCCAACAAATCCCCCCAAAAAGTTATCAAACTCCCCCAAACCCCCC